TAATAGCCTGACTACCAACAAGACTATACTCATCATTACAGCTATAAACCACCTCAGCTCCATATGTGAATACATCACCAAACCTTTCTCCATTAGTGGGTGTACCTGGATCACTACAGTTAACTATAATACAAGAAGGCATCATATTACTCCATGTACCATTAGATAGGCAGGTAATTGAGCTTTCTCCTGTTAGATTGTACCCAGTGTTACAAGTGTATGATAAAACTGAATTGTAGTTAAAAGTATCACCAGCTCTCTGCCCATTAGAGAGATCACCAGGATCAATACAATCAGGATAGCAATAAGGAACTGAACCATTCCATGAACCAGTAGATAAGCATGACAGAGTATCAGCTCCTGATATAGAGTATCCACTAATACACTGATAAGATACTACTGAGCTATAAGTATATACACTGCTGCTCTTGTTTCCATTGGCAGGTGTACCAGGATCACCACAATTAACTGGAGGACAGGAAGGTACTGGTGAACTCCACAGGCCGGTAGCTAAGCAAGTAATAGAGGCAGCTCCTGTTAAACTATATCCAGTATTGCAACTGTAAGAAACTGTTGAATTGAAATAGAAATTCACTCCAGTCCTTTCTCCATTGTTGGGTGTACCAGGATCAGTGCAATTAATTATTGGACAGTTTGGTAGTGTATTGTTCCAATTACCATTAGCTGTACATTCAATAGATGAGTCACCTGATAGTTGATATCCTTCATTACATTGATACTGTACTGTAGACTGATAAGTAAATACATTATCATTAGTATATCCATTAGCTGGTTCACCAGGATTACCACAGTTTACTAATGAACAAGATGGAGTTGGTGAAGACCATGATGCATTCAGTAGACATGATATAATATCATTTCCATTAATATTATATCCAGTACTACAGTTGTATTGGACTCTAGCTCCATACTGTATATCACCATCTAATTGAGAGTACATAGCATTACTAACAGTAGGTGGAGTATTACAGTTGACTATATCTGAAATAGAAAATGACTTTATTAAAATAGTAACTTAAGTCTTTGGCTTACTAATATCAGCTTCAGCATGTATCACATTAGTAGATACTTGGTTGCTTCCAGTACAAGTAAGTATTGTAGTGCTAGATGATGCTGTTGTAACACAAGCACCAATAGGCACACCATTGATATCAGTTTCGCCTGGTTTGTTTCCAATGACTGGTAATGGATTAGTATTGTCTAGATATACTCCTATAATACTTCCTTTACGCACACCAACTACTGGACTGATTGAAAATGTCCTAGCTATTAAGGCTCTTTTTCTACGTCGTTCTACATTACATCACAAATGTTAGTAACACTGTGCACTTACTATTGTTATGAGTATATGTGGATTGCTTTGTTGTAAATGAATCCTATAACAGCACAATAGCAGTGTAAGTCTAGATCAAAATACATTGTAATTATAAATCTACAGCTTACAATTTCATAAGTTGTTGAATTGATTGGTCGCCATACAGCAAGAGTAATGCGATAAGTTGTATCTTCACTCAAACTGTTATCATAAAAATCTACTTCATAACTGTTAATAGATCCTGAACATGTTGCTGGTACAGCAACATTGAGATACCACCTCCCTCCAATGTTACTGACATAATCCACAGACTGGTAAACATCTCCTACTTTACAAGCTTGCAAGGTATCTAACAGAGCAAAACTTAGAAGTTAACAAATAGATTCTTAATTAGATCTACCAGGTAAAAGGGTGACAAAAAGTAGAGCAAAAAGTGCAAGCATCTTCACCGAGCTGAGGTAGGAGGGGATAAGGATGATAAACATATTCATAACACTGCATTATTTAAAGTTTATAAAAGGCTATAATTTTCTTCAAAACAATGCAGAACTATGTATATCAGCAAAAGTATGTATGCATAAAAAGGCCTATCCTATTAAACAGATAAATAAATGAGATAAAAAGTTTAATATAAAGTATCAGATTGTCCAATAGGCACTTCAGCTTCACTGATCTTGGCAACATCATCAGGTGAAAGAGGTACCAACTCGTCCATCTCAACGGACTCCGTTCCCAGCACTGAAGTCCCAATGGCTCTACCTCCTCCTCCTCCTCCTCCTCCTCCAAGATCAGTAGCTTCTTTGTGATAGACCGGATTACTGAAATCAGTCTCATACGGATCAGTAGAGTACAATGGATTACTCTCCTTTATTGGAGGCAGGTCTTGATCATCATCTGATGAATCATCTTGGAACAACTATTAAAATAATGGTTATAATAAAAGTGGCTTTAAAAGTACAATACATTATTATCAATAGGTTCTTCTTGGGTTTGTTTGATGCTTAAACTGTAATACATGTAACTATATGTAGATAGCATGCAATATGAAAAGAAGTAGCCAGAACAAAGCTCCAAATTATACCAAAAGTAAATTATATTTTGACTATTTCATTTGGTTACCGGTTTCTGTAATCCTGGTTTAGGTAATCCAAGCCAACTCGTTTTCTCAATGGTTTTCTTAACTCTTTTCTTTCCTCCTCTCTGTGTCTCCTGTAGCTCAATTTCAACTGTCCTTTCGTACTGCATGGCACGTCCAGTCTCAGGGTCAATAACCCCACCATGCATTCTCTCTGTGTATAAAGACAAGGAAGCAATCAACAGTAAAGAGTATTATCATAGTTATTATAGACACAGTAACTCAAAAATTATGATAAATAGTGTAATTATGCAAGATTAAAATTTTAGAGTATCATAACTGACCATGATGTCCAGACTCATTCAATATATTAGGGTTAGGAAGAAGAGCAGATTCTTTATGTTTGCTGCGTCTATTTTCCTCACGCATTCTACAAAAAATAATCATAATAAAATTTTGCAACATAATTTTTTATTGTTTCATTACTTTTTGAGTCGTTTCCAAAGCAGTCCAACAATAAGTAGCAGTAGAGATATGATGATGACAGAATTGAGAACAATGATAACAGCCACAGCCCAAGCCGGTATCTGCCTGTCAATTATAACTGTTGGAGTTGCTGGCGGAGGCTTGTTACTTATAATAGTCTGAAAGGAGAGAGTAAGAGAAAGGGTAGCTTGATAGTTGCAGTCGGCAAAAACTCAAAATATTGTAAAAAGTGGGGGTTTATTTTTGGAAAAACCATGGGCTATAGCCTTGGGTATTTTTCAAAAATTGGCTCATTTTCAAAAATGCTCATAACTTGAAAATTATTTGTCGGAAACAGTTCAAACTTTCTACATAGCATAAGGACATCAATATGTATTAGAAAACGTAATAAAAATTGGACGTGATTTCGGAGCCAATTTTCAGAAAAACCATGGGCTATAGCCTTGGGTATTTTCAAAAAATGGCTCATTTTAAAAATTGCTCATAACTTTAAAAATATTTATTGGAATCAGCTCAAACTTTCTGCATGGCTTGAGAATATGTAATACACATCATTCATTTAGTGAAAAGTAATAATATACTACCTCATAGTCAATGTTAAATCCAGCTTGTAGCAACAGATCTCTCTGCTGGGAATCAAGTTGAGAGAAAAGGTCAACTAGCGTATCAGGATCGAGTACCCGTCCATTCTCAGTAGCATACAAGTCAACCACAAAATTACTAAAAATAATAAATGAATAATAACTCCCTCTAATTTGATTCTTTTTCTCTATTTCTTTCACTCTCTCCCTCTCTCCATCCTTACTTATCACCACTGGGTCTAATAGCAGCTACTTCAACTGTGACTCCCAGTAAATCACTGATTAACTGAGCGAATAAATTGGCATTAAAATCATCAATAGATCCAGAAAACGTTACAGACACAGTGTCATAGAAACGATACACTTCAATAAAGAGAGAGCAGAAAGCAGTTAGGTTGCCTCCATCTCGAGCAATGATGGACAGAGAGTAATTACGAGAGGACAGAAGTCTAATTTAAAGACAAAAAATAAAGGAGAGAATTTATAAAAAAGCACTTATATTTGAATATCACTTGCATGCATAAATAATCAAAGCAAAGCTAAGAATCTTTTTACTGCTCACCTGTCATTAGTAATACTACCAGTGGCTGGATTAATGCTGAAGCTGTCCTCATGATTGCCCAGCTCATAAGTGATGAGTGCATTATTGCCAATGTCAGCATCAGAGGCTTGATATGTGGTCAATAGTGTGTTTGGCTGAGTGTCATTGAGGACCTGGAGTGCAGCCAGTGATGATGGACAAACTGGAGGATTGTCATTGATATCAGTGACATAAATAGTCAACTAGAGAGAGAGAAAGGGAGAATTAATATATAAATATAATAAAAGCTATTATAAAAACGAATAGGATAATCTAAAATAAATTTTAAATAACTTACAGTAAAGACACTGACAGGTGACACAGGAGGGCATGTGGTATTAACAACAGGACCGGGAGTAGTAGTAGGAGAAGGAGGAGTAGTAGGATCATCACCACTACCTAACTCATCACCACTACCACTACCACTAACAAGAGAAGGTGGTGGAGTTGTAGTACTTGGAGGACTGGTAGCTGTAGGTTGTGTTGGTGGTTGTTGTAAGCATTCTCTTTGACGACGCTGTACAGCATCAGTAGCTTCAACTTCAATGACATACGTATCATTAGTCTCTCTGTCTAATGGACGAGTTAGTTTCACTGATCCTAATGTCACATCAACCGTAAACAGACCATCGTAAGGATCATTCCTTATGCTATACTGTATGTCATCATTGTGTATATTAATGACATCTTCATCGATGGCCTCCAATATAGCAATGGTGGAGCCGATTGGAGTATTTTCAGATACGGACACGTTCCCAGAATCAGGTGAGAAGAAAGGTCTAAACTGGTCAAACTCAACACTGACAGTTATAAATTCAGTCATTAGAGGGCCAGAGCAACCAACCCAAGTTACATTGAGATCAACTACTCCCTCACTAACTCCGACTATCTTGTTACCAGACACACTGACAACAGATGAGTTTGATGACTCTATTAGTATCTCATTGGGGTCAGTCAATAAGAGACGACGCCCGTCAGAGAGTACAACAGAGACAGTGACCTCTGTCTCCTCTTGTAGATAGAATAATCCGGGTAATACCTGTAGGGTTACAAAACTAGGTGACAATCTTGAGTCGTAGCTGTAAGATGTTAGCAGACGAACTGATGCAACGATTGGGTCAAGACGAAGGTATCTAAGAGGCGTGGTTTGAGTAGTGTGGATTATCTTAGAGTCCCAGAGACTGGAGGAGCCGTAGTGAGGCAGGGATACATTGACTAGTCCTGGAGCGGTGGGTTGAATGATACCCAGTGTAGTGTTGAAATTGATAATAGAAGTATTATCGTTAAATTGAATCTAGAGAGAGAAGAGAAAAGAAAAAGATAAGAATAAAACATTTAGTCATAAAAAATTGTGTTGTAAGTAGTTCCAAACTTTAATATTTACCTTGGGTAGTATTCTGTCGGTAATATCAGCAGTAAATGTATTTGTTCCATCACTGAATGTGGAGTATACACTAATACGACTGGTCTGATATGATTCTGGTGATAAAGTACAGTTACTGCCATGCTGCCATCCTTCAACTGGTGTCAACTCATCATCACTAACCTCAATATAAACCTATTGAAACAAATAGAAGCATCTTAAAATTGTATTACAATATCCATGCATAAAAGAATTAATACAGTAGGATAATGATTCTTACATTAACTGGTTCCCATACATAAAGTGACACAGTACTAGTCAGTACTTGGAGACGAGCTGAAGGAGGTACAGCTGGGTTTGGACTAATTTGTACTTTGAATGAACCAGATCCACCAGTATCACTAGTAGATATACTAGTACAATCCAAGGACACACCAGCTAAATTACAAACAACATCAGCCATTGGATTTAATAATTCTTGACCAGGAACAGTGTTAGGTGCCAATGGGGTAGTGTATAGATCATTATGGAATACTGTGTAGTATGGTCTAGTGGTAGAGGTAGATCCATCAAGTGTAGCCATATTAATAATATCAGATTGAAGGGAGCTGACTAATACGTAATACAATCTTCTTGGTACCACTTGAATAGCAACCTAAAGAGAAATTATTCAATATCTACAGTATGCTAACATGATCTTACTGAATCAGTTGTTGAGCTGCCAACAGGGGTTCCAGAAATACTTCTTTGAATGCTACAGGAATGAAATAAAATGATTAAAATCATCAATGCATTTACTAATCATTCATTTCCTTACTTGTTGACAAATACCATGAAGTTATTACTACTACTGGATGGTGCTTGAACAATGATGTCAATTAGCTTAACATTAACTTCATTTGAAGGTAGTGTGCTCGATACATCACAATCCAAATGAGCTAATCCTTGACTAATACCTATGGGACAAACAAAGTATGCTCATACAATACTAAAGAATATAAAGATACAAGCAATATACATGTAGAAATACACATATATATCTAGTGCAGGAAATTTTTAATGCTGTTTAAAAACTGACCACAATTAAAAAATCCTAAAGCTACCCCAATAAAATACAAAATAATATTGTGCATAATGACTTACTGCAAGAGAAGTAAGGTGCAGGTAGGTATCCATCAATTCCAATAGCTCCACTACTAGTAAGAACATCAGCTGATACTCTGGTATAATAGTTAGTATCATATGATGGAGACTTGACGTATACAGACACTACAAATGTGTTAGTAGTATATACAGTGTGGGATGGTGGAACCAGTCTAGTACTAGTAGAACTCATGAATGAAGGCTCATATACTGGTGATGCTTCAACAGGCAATGAACCAATGAAGGCTCCATTATCAGTAGCTGATGCTGCATTGACATACACACTGATTCTATGATTATTACTGGTAGCAGGCCTCTGGAACCATTCGTCAGGTAACTGTACTCTAGCTACACAGTATCCTAGATCTGTTGTAGTACAGAATCCAGTGGGATTAGTGTTAGAGAGAGTAGCTAGAGAACTAAATGGAACCACTTGTACTCTTAGCAATGTTGGACCTGCAGTTATGTTTCTATGATCGTAAGCTCTTGCTATAACAGTCACATATCTTGCTGTGTGTGCTACTGTAGAATGGACCAGGTCTCCCTCAAAAACTACAGCCTCAGCTCCACTGTTTATGAGATCAGCATTTTCAAAATCACGAGAGAAAGCTGTTCCAATGCGTCCACTAACTCTAACACTGGTGCCCTGTTCCTCACCAAATAAGTAGCCCACTTCTTGCTTATATGAAGAAGGTGATTCTCTTACTAGTTCCTGTAGCACAAATCCTTTACCAGAAGCACCAAAAGCTATCACTTGTCCTTCAATGACAGTTATTACTACATCAGTAGTGTTTGATAATGAAGGATCTCCTTTATCTGTAGCAATCACTTTGACAGTGCGTGGTGTACCATTCTCAACTACTAGCTTCTGACTAACAGTCAGTTGTCCTGTCACTGTATTGATATCAAAGTAAAATGAGGGCTCTCCATTCTCCATTACTGTATACTCAATCTCTGAGTTCGAGCCAATATCAGCATCAGTAGCATTGATGATGGTAATGTTAGTCCCTATTGATAGATCATCCTCTAGTATAAACTGTCTCTGAGATGGTACAAAGACAGGATGATTATCATTCACATCAGTGATTATGATAGTAATGGAGGCAGTGGTACTTCTTGGTGTTGTACCATTGTCAGTAGCATTGATGATAAGATTGTATTTAGGGACACTTTCTCTATCAAGATGTTCGTTAACCATAATGTAGCCATCCTCTGTGACATCAAAAACATCAGAAGGATAAAGCTCTAATGAAACTGTTCCATTCTCTCCAAAATCTCTATCAGTGACATTAATGAAAGCTGTAGTTATCAGAACAAAGGTATCAGTGTCATTATAGACATCTTCAGCTATATAGAATGTGTAAGGGGCATTGTGGAAGACTGGGCTATTATCATTAATATCTTCAACCATAACAGTCACTACAGTAGTACCAGTTAAAGGATCTGCTCCATTATCTATAGCCAGGACTATTAGCTCGTGTGTTGGTACCTGCTCTCTGTCCAGTGATTTATCTAATGTAATGACACCATGGACAGGATCAATCTTGAACGACGAGTTAAAGTTAGACGAAGGATTTATAGAATAATTGAATTGATTGTTAGGGGATGAGGAGTCATCATCAGAAGCAGATACAGTAGCAACAGAACTGCCAACAGGACTAGCTTCAGACACAGATGCAATGTAGTTAGACTCTGTAAACATAGGAGCATAGTCATTGACATCTGATATTGATATGAGGACAGTGGCAGTTAGTGATGGGGTATCTTGAGGGAAACTTCCAATTACAGTGAGGTTATATGAAGTGCTGCCAGAATCATAATCTAATGGCTCAATGATCTGAAGGCTGCCTAATATAGAGTTGCTTATTACGAAAGGAGTATCTGTTGTTTCTAAGGTATAGCTTAGATCACCGTCAGTAGGGAAAGTGGATTTGACAGCTGTGATGAAGAAGAATGTTTGATTGAGAGTGTAGTTCTCTGGAAGGGGATCAGGTACTGTTATGATGGAGCCATCAAATTGACAGTAATCAGACCTTAGGTTATTTGTGAAATCTTGTAATGAATGAAGGACATTAGCTTGACCCAGATCAACATTATGAAGAGTAGCACCTTCACTTGATGATAAATTGAACTGTGTTAGACCTTGAGAGGAGACTACTACTGATGGGGAGCCGGTAAACAAGGCAGTACGAAGTGGAGAAGTACCAGACAACTCATCAGCAGTTAGTATGAATACTGAGAGACCAATATCACCTTGAATGTAACTAATGGGAGTGAGCAATGAGGCCCTGTATGTTGTATTATCAGTAGTAGTGCCTTCAAATAGTCCAGTACTAGCAGACACACCAGACTCATAGCCTAGGGTAGCTTCAGTCACATTCATCATATTACTAAAACCAGTTGCACTGTCAGATACTAGGAAGAACACATATACTGATGATGATGAGGTCGGGTGTATGGTGGCAGAGAGAGTGAGGACACAGTCGCCTTTTGACACTGGATTAACTACAGGCAAAGCTGTCAAGAATGGCACCAATCCTGTGGTAGCCCTCATCAAGTACAGGAGATCATATACATTGGATACCTGATCAAAAGTGAGGTCTTTGGGAGCGCTGGGTAGTTTACCAACCAAACTATAGGTCATGTTAAGTATATCTTCAACACTTAGAGTATGATCATCATTGATATCACCAAATGTATGAGAGCCATGAGAAGAACGTTTGACTATACTCCTCTTGCCAACAGGAGCTGGATCGACTTTCACTGGTAGGCTGAATGCATTGGTAGCAGCAAAATCAGTGAAAGCGTCATCAAGTATAATGAAGTTAGTTATGTCAATGTTTGTCTCCCCATCTCCAATAGCTTCCCATGCTATTGATGCTATTACTGGTACATTATCAGTAGTACTGATAGATGAACTCACTACCTTAATGACTCCTTCAGGTGATCTTGTACGATGAGCTGAGAAAGCTCTTACACTTGGGCTCACAGACAATACTCTGATTATTTCAGGATCATAAGAAATTAAGATCTCATATGCAGTGAACGATCGGCCAGCATGATTAAGTCGTATATCAGTTGTAAAGTTAGCACCAACTTGTACAGGAGGCTGTGGTATCCCTAACTCTGTACCAATATCCAGTTCTCCAGGTGAGACTGGCTGTACATTAGCAATGAATGATGTTGAGGCACTGGTATTGCCTCTACTGGCAGTCAGTGTACAGGAAGTGTGATAATTCTCTTTAACGACGAGTTGATCACCGACTCTCATAGCAACAGAGTCTGGGGTTATACTGAATGTGAATGGGCTAAGGTTAACGGTGGTCAGGTTAAGTCCATCACTTAATTCAGCTCCTACTGTTATTGCTCTGTTGTTTGTGTCATCTTCATTAGAGAGACTGAGAGACATAGAGAGGATTGAGGCTGGTTCATTACTGATAGTAACAAGTACTGAGTCAGAGAAAGAATGTGCTATTATGGTAATGGTCCTATCACCAAAACCAACACCATATATAGAAATAAGACCAGAACTAAGATTAATATCAATATTGTCTGGAGCCATTTTAAATCCCCATCCGCTAATATCATCTTCACTAGTTCCATCAGAAAGGTCAGCATTAACAACAATACGTGCTTCCTCCCATACTCCAGAGTCTTCAATCTGTCTCAGTGTAACATTCTTACTCAATACTGGTGAGTCAATATTATTATAGTGAATGAATACGTCAATGCCTACAATCCTAACTACAGTAATGTTAGCAGTATCAGAGACAGTAAGTGAGCCATCAGTAAATGAAGCAGTGATGGATCCCAGTGTCTCACTGCTATCTGCTGCTGTTATAGTCTTTGTAGTAGTATCAATAGTGATGGAGCCAGTAGCAGTGACTATACTATTATCAGTGACATCAAGTGTTGTATCATCACTGAAAGTAGCCACTACAGTATATGTTGCCGATTGTTGTATGTCAAGAGTACTGTTAGTTGTAAGTCTTGATGCATCAACTTGTATTTCAAGGGATGATAGATCAGGTGAGTTAACACTGATTGATTCAGTAGTTCTGATTGTTCCAGAGCTGCAAGATGATGGTGTCCAGCTAATAGTAACCTCAGCATTCCCTTTATTAACAGTACGGAATTGATCAGCTCTAGTAACATTAACAGCACTGTCAGTAGAGGAGATATTTAGTGATGGTAGGTCTAGCCTGGCTCCGTCAGTGAAGTACATATAAGCAGAAACAGTAGCTGTTTCATGCAATCGGTTGAGGCCAGCATCACTGTGTGTGGCTGTTGCTCTAATGACAGAATTGGCATCATAAGTATCAGAATCAGTTGTAATGCTCAACGAAGTAAAGATGGTTGGATATAGTCTGTATGGTCTTACTGGCTCATCACTAACAGTCACTACAACTGGTGCAAACAAACTACTGTTATCATCACTTATAGTAATATTAGTGGTACCAGGTCCTACCCCAACTATTCTTGTATAGTCACTATTGAATGAAGCCACACTTGGATCACTACTTGTTAGTCTTGAAAGTGTACCAAATACAAGAGGATTACTATACACTCTAACTTCAGGACTTGTGTCTACTCCTGTACTAAACCTTGCATATACTCTTACTTCAGAGCTCTGATATTCACTAGAACCACTACAGCCATCATATTCAATGCTATTCAACTCAGTATCACTGATACTGATTCTGATGGACTCGGGATACCAGACACGGACTGGTTGAGTGTATGTTAGCTGTGTCTCAGTATGTGTGACTGTAATATCAGTTTGATGACTGCCTTGATACTGAGCTGGAGTCAAAACAATATATGAGCAGTTACTAGCAACATACATAACTTGATTATTTTCAGATACACAGCTAACATCACGTAACCGACTGAACGTATTATTATTATACAGACCAAATACTTCCATTAGCTGATAATCATTAATACCAAATGGTGCATAATTGATCATTTCTGCTCCTGTTGTCAACGAAAAAATTGACACTAATGAAGGAGGCTCTATATATACTGTTCCATTGTCATACGAGAGATTATCCCGATCAATGAAACCAATAGGTTTCTCATATGATAGTGTTCCATACAATGAAGCCAGAGATTTTACTGATCCAAATATGCTAATTGATGCAGTAACAGATGAGTCAACGGAGAATGTCAATTGACCAACGAGATTAGTGCCATAATGGGTAGTAGGGTCAGGAGTCAGAGTAGTTTTGATACAGAGAATAGAAACACTACTGGCAGGCTTTGCTTCAGTTTCACAGGCCCAGTTATCAGTTGTGAAAGACAGCAAAGTGAGTCCAGGAGGTGTATATAGTTCAAAGTGAAATCCTGTTGCTGTAGTTGAGAACAGGCCACTAATAGATACTGTGAAATTAGTGCCTGGAGACACAGGACCATAAGGGAGCTTAAGATAAAGGTTGTCAGGTGATGGTGATATGGTAGGATCTCCTCTAAGAGATACCATGTCAATTAATTTAGAATCCAATCCTTCAACAGTTGATGTTACATTAATTTCTTCATATAGATCAAACCAATTGCTAGGAACAGTAATACTAGACTGACAGAGATTATATGTTGTTGATGACATTACACATGAGAAATCACTGCTAACAGCAGCCACGTCTTCATTACCAGCTGGTTGAATGGATAATGACACATTCTTAGGGTCAATGTTATACCAATTGAATGAACTGTCATACTGAAGGGTGAGAGCTGAGAGAGATGGATCATCTTTATAGACAATGTTTTTGTATAGGAATGAGTTAAACTGGGTAGGTGACTCCTTCACTTTATTTATTTCCACAGATTCAGTGATACTACCTAAACTAGCATATACAACAGTAGTGCTGTTAGTATCACCAATAAGGAATGAAACGTTTTGACTATGACCTCCATCTACTCGTGTTGGTACCCCGATCAAGTGACCAGGCCCAAATAATCGAATATCAGTACGAGTTGGTTCACCAACAACTACACTAATGTTGATAGTACATGTCATCTGTCCACCATCAGTGACTGTAACGGTGACAGGGTAAAATGGATTCAATTCACGACTGAAATCATTAGTTAGAGTGTAAAGGTAAGCTGAAGTATCTGATAGTTTAGTGATACCAAACTGAGGCTGTTGAGAGATAGAGAAGGAGAGTGTGGAGTGATTGGATCCAATATCATTGTCGGATACAGTGAACGTGTAAAACTGTGTACCGACTAACTCATCCTCTGCAACTATTGCAAGCCTCTCATTGGGGTCACATGATGGTGGGTGCTCGTTAATTGGAGATATGTCCACAGTGACATTAACAAGAGCGTAACGACCGGGGGCGGGGCCACCATCCCGTGCTTCAATAATGAGATCGTAACTGGTAGAATTCTCATAATTAAGAGATGTAGTTATACTCACGTAGCCAGTACTGGGATTAATACTGAACACATTATATGGAGACGAATACACAATACTGTATGTTATGGTACTGTTCTCTCCTTCGTCCTCATCAGTAGCATGGACATGGAATATATCAGTATTGACTGGGGTATCCTCTGGTATAGGTGGAGGCATTGTCACTGGGTCAAATACAGGATCATTATCATTCACATCAAGTACATACACATCAAGTGAGCCATACCCAATGTTGGTATTGACATTACCCATGTCTTCAGCTGTTAGTCCGATTGTATAGGAGGCTATTGACTCTCGGTTAAGCTGTACTTTAATTGTCACTTCTCCAGTAGTCTCGTTGATACTGAATGTGTCTTTTATTAGCTGTGAGGGCTCGTAGAATCCATAGGAGACTACAGCATTCTCCAGTGCATCGCTATCATTGGCAAAGACCACAGCAATGACAGAGTTAGGCTCTGCATTTTCATATACATACACAGTGGCATTGCGTGGCTGGAATACTGGCCTATTCTCGTTGATACACTGAGGTGATGTGAATGTTTGATTGATTGAGCGTAAAGGACTAAAACCAAGTGAGCGATCAATAGATAGTGTGTTACCATCCACCACTTCAACGGTTAGTGACACTCTCTCGGGAAAGTCTTCAGGTATTTGGATAGATCCTAGCATTACAGCACTCAAACTGGACGGCATGGTGTTAAAAGCATCACGATGAGCCTGTAGGAGCAAGACACCAGTATCCATTCTATCTATGATCGTTTCTAATTGGAGCTTGTGTACAAGAGTATCAGTGTCAAGACTAGCACCAAAGAATCCACCATAAGTAGTGGACGGTGAGTTACTGGTAGTAGTCGTTTCATACCCATTACTAAGGAAAGGCATGGAGTCATCAAACTCTGATTGGAACTCGGGCTGACGGTTGAAAATACCCACAAGGAGGTAGTCCCTATCATTCACTGCTGACCTATCTCCTCTTGATTCCAGTACGGCCTGTACATTCAAAAAGCAGAGCTGATTGGTGACAGGTGCTACAGTCAGGTTCTTAACAAATTGAATCTGATGGAAGTTGACTCTCAATAAGAAATCAGCATCATTTTCATCACAGGACCCATCGAGATTATAGTCATTGGAAGACTCCATACAAACCTCAGTCAAGTGGTTATAGAAGTAATGCACGTCCTTGACATCAAACACACAGTCACCATTGAGATCACCAGTTTCAGGTGAAGTGCAGTTACAAGGGAGCTGCTCTGTGCAGACAGACTGGACTGGATCAAGAAGACTCAGATCAAGACTAGTATCGGGTACAGTTGGATGAGATGTGTAATTAAATACAATAGAGAGATTGGAGGATTGAGACTCTGAGCTGGATATAACGTCACCGCTAACATTGAGTAGTGTTACAGATCGAGCTCTCAAATAGGTAGCTGTCTGATTGGACTGAGCTCTGAATCTAAGGACAGCCACTTCAGCAATACCACTGATGCTGGTTGATAGGACACCACCAAAGTGAACAAATCCATCATAATAAGTCAGTGAGTTACTAAACCAGTCTCCTTCCCAGTCACTACCAGGACTTACACTCAATAACGAGAGTGAGCTGCTATCATAGCCTACGGCTAACTCTATAGCATCAAGAAGGTTGTTCTTTCCAATGTTAACACGTACAGGCACATCAAAAGGAGTGAGATGAGAGACAGGAGGAGGTACTGAGGAGTTAGAGGGTGCTCCAAGGTCTATCTCTCCAGCTTCAGGATTAGCATTGCAATATAAAGAGACGTTTTGGCTAACAGAGCCAGCTGATGCAGTGATTGTGAGTGGATAGTTGGAACTCTTGAGACAAGTGAACGTACCAAGCTGTGAAACAGTGAGTACATCAGTGTCACTGCTAGTTAGTGTCAATAGGTTTGTATACACAGGCCCGGTCGATGGGTAGGCATTGTTTAATTGACTACCATCAGAGAAATCAACTGTAATGCTCATTTCATTTGGATAGTATATGTAGAAAGAGCTAAGACCAGTGACAGTCACAGGTGAGTTTTCTGATGTTATTGTTATACTGAGTGACTGTTCCAGTGTGTCAGAAGCAGCAGTGATATTAACAACAGAGTCATTAGCTGGTGGAAGCACAACTGATACAATACCATCACTACTGACATTAGCTATCAGTGGACTATTGGAAGAGAATGAAGTATATGATGTAGCTGGCACATATCGAGTCTCATTGACAGTTGACACAACATAAAAGTATGTCAACAACTCTAGTTGTTGATATGAACTAGTGCCTGCTACTGGTGAGAGCCTTGAAGGAGAGTTGAGGTTGTTAAAGTTGGGATAAAGATTGGGAATTATTGAGAGAGAAGATGTCCTTCCAATGAATACAGATATAACCTCAGCAGGGAAGTTGTTATAAGTAATGGTAATATAAGCTGGCCCACTTACATCAGAAGAAAATGCAGACACTACTCTAGAAGATCCTGAACCATTAATAGCCACATTGTCAAAGTACTCATAGCCACAATCAGAAGTCACATCAATTTCAACTGGTGATCCATTAACAGTGTAACGCACTTTGACAGTAAGGTCCGAGGTAGTTGGTAAACCTAGGGACCCTGCGTTAACATTAGCAGCAGCATCTGATGAATGGACAATGAATGGATGAGAGAGTTGTGGAATGAGCTGAGCATCATTCAGTTGAATATTGACATTGTTTGGGTCAGTGAAAACTGTCTGAGTTCCACAGACCCAGCTAGCAGTCAAGACATCACCGGATCCAGAGTTATTAACAGTAATACTGCTATCACTGACACTCAATACAGTGAGGTTGGAGGACTCATACGATAGCCCACTGGATGATGAGATATTTTGATGATAACCATCAGAAAAGATTGCAAATGTAACCAGTTCTGCTGTCTGTCTCTCTACCTCAAAGATATTGTTAAGGATTCCGTTGAATTGAGCCACATCTGATACCAAGAAATCACTTGATATGACAGAAGAAACAGACCGTGAGTAGTACACATCAAGATCAACAGCATGCACCAACTGATTTGTAACACTAACTGACACTTGACCTAAATCAATTCCTGATCTACTTAGATTGATTGCAGCAGTACCCACTCCAGCACCAGTTACATACAAACCAGAGACAGTAGCAACACCTGTATTAGTGGACAGTATAGTTGGTATTAGATCCTCTACATGAACCATAGTGCTTTTTGTTGATCCTGCACTGGGTCTATAGGTAGCTATGGCTTGGATCTGTGTAGTTTGATACATAGAATTACAGTTCTCAATAGCATTGAGTGTATTGTCAGTGAGAGAGACAGTAAGAGGTAAGTCTGGATACCACACTTCAAATGAGAGGTCCTTCAATATGGTCAAACCTCCAGAAGTGATATTAAAGGTAACTGTCACTGATTCAGTACCATTTGGCTCACTACCATCAACATAGACAGAAATACAAGCAGAGCCTGTCTTGAGTACATCAGTATCCTCAGAAGAACAAGTCTTACCAGTGTATATGGCACTGGATGTTGGGACAGGGCCGGAATACACTCCAGTTGTTGAGATGTATATATCAAAACGAGTGCCCTGGATGACTGCTTTATTGTAGATCCTGGTCCTTGGAGCATGAGCAAATACATCCAGTAGAGTGGAAGAGGTTGTGTATATTGTACCAGGCCCTGTAGTGCATGTATCCCTTGAGAGAGTGAGGACAGATGAGAATGTGGTGGTACTGCCTGTAGTGTCAATGGCGTCAAGGACTTCACATGTTACTGAGATTTCTGATGAAGCAGTTGAAGAGACTTGGAAATTAATTTTAAACAAATCCAAGGCCTCGCTGCCATTGCTAGTCGAGTTACTAGATCTTGTAATTTGAACAAAGGCCTCAGTCTCACCAGAGACATCATGCCTAGTTGCCCAATCATCAGTTGAATATAGTTCGGCTCCAGTGAATCTTAACCCATCATTGCTGGAACACTTTACGCCAAGAGATGAGATGACACGTCTCTGAGACGAGGAGGCACTTACACGTATTGATCCAGCCTCCCCTTGATAGAGAGTGTAATAAGGAAGCCAAAACAATACATTATCATCATCATCACCACCAGTCTCTGTATTACCAGAAGCAACATTAACATCACTACACACAGCAGTGGTATTGGGTCTGGGTACAATACTAACACTGTCACTGAATTGAGTCTGAGCCCCACCAGCTAGATAATAACTAACACTAATAGCTCCATTACTAGCTGAGAACCATGATGAAGGGATGGTAACTGATACTTTAGCAATTGCTGAAGTGTCCGTGGTAGAAGATCCAGTTACATTCATTCCATTGTAACTGGCTGTTACATACACTGTAGTTGTAGCAATTGAATCAGAGCCTTCAGCATCTAATGCTTGTAGGACAGCATGTATCTCTGGCTTATCATGATAGACCTCAGTAGTAGCTAGTACACCACTGAGACTTGCTGCTGGATTAGGACTTGGAGAAAAGGTTAATGTATCCCTCATTGGGCCAAAGCTAGTAGTCAAGGTTTTAGTATTGCCAACGTAAGCATCATAAAAGTAACTGTGGTCACGTGAGAATGAGGTTGATGAATCTCTGACAGGATCAGAGACAGGGAAGCCTCTGTTTGACTCTATGCCAACAGGAATGACCCCACCACCAACAATCACATACACTAATGCAGTACCAGTCTTAACGTCATTAGTACCACTATCAGATACACGTATGGTAGCTTTGTGAAGATGTGTAGTGTCACGATCCAAATCAATATTAGCAGTGAGCTCTGCAGTGACATTATCAATGGATACATCAGTACTGTCAATTATGTCATAGAACAGCGGATAAGAGCAAATGTCACGATCAGCGGCTTCATATGTGCCTAGTTTAGTACCAATGGAAGACCCATCTCGCACCTGGAAGACATACTCTGGCCTGTCAAAGTAAGGTGCAATACTGTTATCATCATAAACTAGGAGTGTGATGGTCATTGTGGTTTGAAAGTTGAGGGTGCCGCCTGGTTTATCCTGAGCAGTCACGTTAAACACATACGTGGCATTAACTGTTGTACAGAGCGAGTCATTAGTGATAATAGCACCAGTTGTCCCATTGATAAAGAATGGGAGAGGAGATGAAGAGAGACTGACCAGTGGAGTGTATGTGATTGGTCTGTCATTACTGGTATCAGCATCAAAGGCTCGTATTGTTATGATTTGTGATCCCACCTCTGTGTTCTCAGTTTGGTAATACATTGAGCTCACGCCAACAAATATTGGTGGTGAGTCATCAATATCCAGTACAGCAATGAACAATGTTGTATTGTCTTCAAGTGAGGGTGATCCCAGATCATAGGCTGTGATTGTTAGTGTGTAACTTTGTTGACGCTCACGATCAAGTGACTTAAAGACTGATACAATACCTGTTACATTATCAATACTGAAATCATCTTTACCCTCGCCATCTGATATGCGATATCTTATCTCAGCATTGATACCAGAGTCATCATCAGATACCTGCATCCTTACGCCAAGCTCAGTTCCACTGGTGGAATTCTCTACAATAGAGTCAGAGTAATTTAATTTCTCAAACATTGGAGCATTGTCATTGACATCAAGTACTTGAATGAATACTGATGTGGTTCCGTTGAGCGATGGGACGCCAAGGTCTTCAGCGAAAAACTCAACTGTAAAGTTTTTAATTTCTTCGTAGTCTATGGGACCTTCGACAGTTACTCTTCCGGTAGTCTGCTCGATATCAAACTCTGTTAAATTCTCTGAGAGGATAAAGTAATGAATGACATTGTCTTCTTCATTGATGGCATCTGATGAACAGAATGAGCCATCATCATCATCAACAGCCTCTAATGTATCAACCAGTGTGCCTGAAGGACTGTTCTCATATACTGTCCAATTGTAGGGAGGAAAGAAGGTTGGAGAATTGTCATTCTCTTCACATATTGAGAGGTAGGTGGTTTGTGTTGGGGCGAAGTGGCCATTGACAATTCGGAAAATCAATTGGAATTTGTATATACCTTCTCTATCAAATCTACTAGCAGCAGTTAATTCACCAGTACTGGAGTTGAGAGAGAAATACTGACCTGCTACATTAGGAGCACTAGCATCTCTAAAGTTATTTTGATTCACCTGGTAAGCAGAGACCAATTCAAAAGTGAGAGCAGCATTAGTACCAATATCAGCATCAGTAGCAGTGACTGTTATAATGCTTGCTCCTATATTGTTATTCTCTGATATGCTATACTCATCAGGTGATGTGAATACTGGGGAATTATCATTAGCGTCAGTTACTGTGATATCAATGTAAGTATAATTGTAGAGCGGATTGCTATCAGAGTCAGATATGGTTACTGTGAGTGTGTAATTGGATATAAGTTCCCTATCCAGTGACCTGTTGAGGGATAAAGCACCAGAAGTTGCATTCAAAGTGAAGTATGGAGGAGTGTAATCACCATCAGTTATGGTGTATCTTAATTCTTTATTCTCAGGGTCAATGTCTGCATCAGTAGCTGATACTGTTAACAGTATGCCTGATGGAAGTGAGGTATCCTCATTAACGTCTTTAGTATAAGTATCTTGACCAGGTATAGGTGCATTGTCATTAACATCAAGGACATTGACAGTAAACGTGGCAGTTGCATTTTTCCTAGTGTATATGTGTGGTCCCTGATCAGTGGCTGTTACCAATGCATTGATAACAGAATATGACTCTCTATCAAGTTTTTTAGCAACAGTTACATTACCACTCACAGGATCAATAGCTAGCAGACCATCTTGGCTAGGATCTACAAATGATATGGTGAATCTAATGTCACCAGCAGGAAGAGGAGAGTCAGCATCTGTTGCTGAAAATATGTCAATGAGTCTTCCAATGGCATAATCTTCAAATACGGTCTGAGTACGAGGATTTATCACTGGTGTGTGGTTATTGTAGCAGAGATAAGCTGCAAAGCTGTTATTGAAATTAGTCTGAGGATTAAAACCAACTGGAAGGCTAACAGTTACACTAGGACCACTCCCACTGGTTGATATGGGTACCTCAGTCTCTAGCGATCCAAAAGACACTGGAGATGCCGGGTTTCCAATGACAACAAGACTCCGCCCATTAATAGAGGTCCTCTTATCACCATAAATGAAAACAAATCCGATATTGGTTCTAGAGATATTATTTGGGAGAGTTTGTACTTCAAAAACACCATTGCCACGATAACTAGGCTCGATCCAAGCACCATGACTATCAGTTGGGCTCTTCTCAGTTGAAATGGTCTGACCAAAGTGAAGGATAGTGTTCTTATATTCCTCCAAGAAGTCAGAACTTTCATGGAACATGCCCATTATAAGGTAGGTATTCTCAGTAGTTATTGGATCACCATTGGCCCAATTGAGTGTAACATTGATTGTCAGTATACAGTCAGAATATTGGGCATCTATTGGTCTCACTAAAACATCAGCTACCAGTGGATATATACCAAGGATACCTCCTAGGAGTCTATTAGCATCCAGTGGTGTTATTCTACTGCTCTTGTCAGCATCCATAGCCTCAAACTGTCTATCAGAGAGACTCGTCTTATCAGAGCTTTGCTCTATGACAGCTATCAAATCAACAATATCAAACACACAGTCAAGATTAGCATCACCAGAGAGAGGAGTGACAGAGCATTGACTCTCACTGCATGGAGGAGAGGCACAGCGAGATGCAGTAGAGAAGGATGGGTCAGCGATAATGCTAGAGTTTCTAACTGTCCCTGCTCCAATGGCAAGACTGATAGTGCCAGCATTTGATGCCTTAGGTTCAGTAGCTGATGCAATAGGAGAGAATGTGGTGGAGTACTTGTTAAGAGATATGACATCCACAGCAATGTAGGCATTGCCATTTTCTAACACTGTGAAGTTCAAATCAGCTAAATGCATTCGCTCAGTTCCCTCTGTGTCATGACGGAAAACAGCAGCAAACTCAACTAGGCCGGGATTATCTTGATAATACGATGAATCAAACAGAGCATTAGTTATAGCATTGCCTGCAGTAGGTCTAGAGTTCAATCCCAGTACTGTAGAGTCATACCTCACTCTTAAATGAGCTGCACCAACACTAGAGGAATTAGCATTGACGTATACAGGTAGGAGGAATGATTGACCAGCTGTAAGAGAAGAGAGAGCAGAGTTACCATTGCTACCAATATCAGCCTCTCCCAGGACTGGCTTGATATTAGCCTGTACAGTTATGGTTTCCTCAATAGTCATTTCCTCTATCTTTACTGTTAGGGTGACAGGAGAGTAAGAATTACCAAGAAGTCTCATGACACCTGTCTCTTCATCTATGCTTATCAGGTCAGGGTCTGAAGATTTAAAGGTTACCAAACCATTAATATATGGAGCATTAGAGCTTGTAAACATGAGGTTAGATATTGAAGTTCCATCGCTAAGACTGAGAGCTAGTTTAGAAACGTAAGAACTGGAGTTCCAGGTATCTGAGAATGTAGACCCAAAGCTAACCTCAAATGCATCAATGCTAGATACAGTAAGAGTCTCATCAATAGCAGCAATCTTAACAGAATCAGTATAACCAGGGATTGAAGCAGTGACTGTTACATTACCAGACTCACTGGGGGTAAGTACTCCTTCACTAGTGACTGAAGCAGCAGACCCAGTGACAGCATAGCTAGCAGCATTAGTTAGATCCATAGTCTCACCATTATTAAGAGTAGCAGTCAAACGAAGTTGGACTACTTGATATGACTCGGTATTATTAATGAGTTTAACTGATGATACACTGCTTGCACCAGAATAGCTTGGATAAGGCAAGGCAACTAGTTTTACACTAGTGATATTGAGGACTTCAACTGTGATTGAATCTGATGTCACATCAATATCATGTGACATATAGCGTATGGTAACATTAGTACTAGCACTGGTTGAGCTTGAAGAGGTTACACTAGCACTGCCACCAGTAAAGGAAAGGAAGGAGCCTGAGTCACTGAAAATAGCTCTAGCATCAGTTGTCACTGTAATCTTAAACCCATCACTGTGTACTAGTCTAGCAGACACTGTGGCAGTTGATGGTAATGACAGGATGGATGAGTATCCTGGGACTGCAAATCTTGTTGAACTAATACTGAGCTCAGTCCTATTGATGGAAAGGAGTTCAATGTCTACTCGTTCGCGTGAGCTATGAAGTAATTGGGAATTACAGGATGATGGGTTCGACCAGTTTCCTTGAAGGAAGAGGCCCTCACCTCCACCACGTACAATGACATTCTGAGAGTCCGAAACAGTGACCACTCCTGTGTTCAGAGATGTAAGATTCAGCCCAGGAGAGCTTGAGATCTCATAGTTCCTACCATTTGAGAGGACAACTTCTGTGACAACGGTCACTTGGGTATCAATGTGACTAAAATCATCAACAATAGTGACCTGGGCTGTACCAGTGAATGGTAGGCTGGTAGATACAGAGGAGAGAGGAGACGATTGCAGTGATGTTTGTAGGTTAAAGCTCATGTCATCAATGGTGACAAGTGAGTCCGAGACAGTTACTGATCTAGTGGTACTAACTCCATTAATAGTGATAGTGATGTCAGCATTACCTGGTGATACACCAACTCCTTTAAGACCTCTATCACCAACAGTGTCTACCCTTACAATAGAAGCATCGCTTGATGTTACTTGATCAATAACTAGTGGAGTGATGGTTGCTGTCTCTTTTAGACTCCCTGACACAAATTCCATGTTAACATTAATGGGCACTTCTTCATATACATTAGAGCAACTGCTTGTTTGTGCTCCTGATATTCTCTTCAGCTCATTAAAAGCTACTACAATGTCTACAGTATCTGTAAGAGGATACCAAACCCTGACAGACACGCTTGTATTATGACCCAATGTATCATTGATTGATAGAGTAGCCTTGGGTGTGCCTTGTGTTTCCGAGCCATTGAGATATAAACTGCAATTATCAAAAAGACGAATAGAAGTGGATGAGTCAAGACTACACTCAATGCCGTCAGTAACATTAACAACACGTCCATTATTATTAACACCAATAGTGTACACATTGACTATCACACTCTGCCCATTGAGATGAGCTGAATTGAGGACACCGTTACTTGTAGCATAAGAGTAGAGTTTCTCTGTTATTACTGGTGCCACGAGAACGCCTCCCCTACTAGCAGTACAACTAGTCTCATTCATTAAACTGATATGAGATGCAGGGGCATTGGTAAACACTTCTCTATTACGAATATTAACCAAATGATCTACTGTACAATCAAAAGTAACATAGCTCTGTTCTGATGCTGAGTAGTCATCAGAGACACTGTATTTTAGAGTAACCAATGACTGAAGACTAGTGCTTTGGTTAGCAGTAGTAAGAGTATTAATACCACTGACAGAGATAGAGCCATCAGTTGAAGTGACAGATACAATAAAGTTTCCTTGAGGCTCAAACTCATCAAAGACCAGGCCATTACCAGTCTCACAAGTTACAAGGAAATTCTTAATATCATAGTCAGCATTTGCTCTAAGAGTCACTTCAAACTCCTCTCCAGGATAATATACTTGTGATGGTATGGAGACAGTGAGTCGAGGAGAAGCAACTGAAGATGGGCATGGAGTGTGAGTGGTCAGTGAGACTTCACCTAGTTGATTTAGATCAGAGTCAGAGAGTGAGAGACCGTAATACACAACTGCATCATTCACATTACCAAACCATGAACTAGGGATATCTATACTAGCCACACACACACTCCCGTCATATTGATCAGAGTAGCACGAACCATTGATGTTGTCCTGACCGGATGCTTCTATCATTACAAATATCTTAGTCCTCATTAGCTCTACACGCTGGTAGTTAAGAGCTTCAGATTGAAAAGCAACCTTCAACTGTGGTCTATCTGAATAGACTGTACTAGTGATGATCACTGGATCAATGGTCTCTATGGATGGGCGCTCAAAAACTAGTGGTGATGCCATCTCGGTTTGTCCTAGCTTATAATGTAAGGTTGGTGTGTTTTTGAGGCTCAGTCCATCATAAAGCCATATGTCTTGTTGGTAAGTTTCTTGAGATGCTCTTGAAATGGTGGGTATGGTCAGAGCTCCTTCAGCAGATATACTCAATGGTAGCAGTTGTCCTACTAGTATGATGAGTCTTACAGTAGTAGTGTGATCGGAGAGGAGGTTATTGCCACCATCTGTGGCTCTCAATATTAGGGTGAATGAGAGATCATCAACAGTGAGATCCCGGGCAAGTGTAATGGTACCTGTATTGGTATCAATGATAAACGTGTTGTTCTCATTCCCACTATCAATGCTATAGAAAGGACCTTCAGAGCAAATATCCCCATCAGTAGCCAGCACAGGCTCTGAGAATACAGTGGTACCATTAGTTGCTAGCTCATCAATACGACTAACGTATGATGGCCGAAGGAACGACGGAGTGTGGCTGTTCTCTTCATACACAAGCACAGTAACAGCAGCAGTGTCACTGAGACTCTCATTAAGATTGTCTTTAGCAGTCACTGTGAATGTGTAGGTCTGGAGAGACTCGGTAGCAAAGCAAAGCTTATTAATAACCTTAAGGTTACCAGTGCTTGATATTATAGAGAAGCGATTGGTAGGCCCACTCTTCTGGACAAGATCATAAACAGTGATGGCATTGTTGCCCAAGTCCTTATCAGTAGCTGTGATATCGGTTATCAGGTCATTCACTGCCGTGTTTTCTGATATGTTAAATATGTAGGTTTCTTGAGAGAGATCTGGTGGATTGTCATTTTCATCTACCACATTAATGAGGACATCAGCAGTGTCCAAAAGTCCCTGGACATCCTCAGCCACTACTCTCCTAGTTATATTATTACCAGTTGTCTCACGATCCACAGGAACATTGGTTGTATATACAATACCAGTTTGATTATCAATAGTGAAATAACCCAATGGATCAAACATAGAGAATGTTACTACTCCAGTTCCATTAGCATCAAGATCAGTGGCAAACACTTGAGCTACTTGTACACCAGGTCCAGCGTTTTCAGTCATAACCCCACTAAACAGGTCTTGAGTGAAATCAGGAGCTTCATCATCAATATCTTTAATATTGACAGTTACTGTGACTGTAGTGGTTAGCTGTGGGTCTCCCAAATCATGAGCAATGACACTAAGGTGATAGATGGAACGATTCTCGTTATCAAGTGGAGGAATAGTAGCAATAGAGCCAGACTCAGAATCAATACTGAAGCGGCCGTAGTCACCACTTACAATCCCATACCTTACTGCAGAGTTATTGGTATTAGGCCTGTCACCATCAGTAGCAATCACACGGAGTACCACTATATTGTTGACAGTGTGTTCTGTGATTGATGAGGAATAGCTTTCTTGTGAGAACTTTGGTGCAATATCGTTGACGTCAGTAATAGTGATAACCAGGTCAGCTGTTGTGTTGAGCATAGAGTCACCCATGTTTACAATAGGTGCATCACCAAAGCCACTGGAATCGTGAGCAATGTTATCCCCACTAGCTTCTGTGCCAGCCCTATCACTAGCAATAACTGTTAGCGTGAACTCTCTATCACCCATATCATAGTCTAAAAGATTGTTACCAGCCATACGAATTACACCAGTTTCATTGTTGATGATGAAAAGATCTCCAAAGTCATCAGATGGAGCTAGACTGTAAGTGATCTTACCATTAACACTGGTGTCTGCATCAGTGGCAATAGCAGTGAATACAATGGTAGTGTTTGATGCTGATTCAGCCAGTGTGGTTACATTAGGAAGATTGGTAAATTGAGGGCTATTGTCATTAGACTCTAGCACTCTAACTCTAACTGTCACAGTAGCAGTGTTCACTGAGTCAGTCGCCTGTGCTATCAGTGAATATGTCCTCATTTCTGTCTCGAAATCAAGCTTTTCCTTTATACTCAGAGCAGCAGTGATAGAGTCAATGCTAAACTTGCCATAGTCAGTCTCATTGAGCCCATTATCAATAAGAGAGTAGCGGACCTGTGCATTCGGCTCAGAGTCAATATCAATAGCTCTCACGTAAGTAATGACATAACCAACTGGTTGAATCTCACGGACAGACTCATTGTAAATGCTCCTCTGAAATACAGGGACTTCATCATTCTCGTCCTCCACACTTATACTGATTGTCAGAGGTTCTGAACGACGGACTGGTTTACCATTGTCAATAGCAATCACTGTTAAATTATATTCACGCTCCAACTCATAGTCAAGGGAATCGTTAGAATTGACTGAAATGGCTCCAGTGTTTTTATCAACGCTGAACACATCAGTATCACCACCAGTCGCTTCAAATGTCATTGTATTAGGGTCAATATCAGAGGTAGTGATTGTATAAAATTGGAAACCGGAGTCTGAATTCTCAGGAACTGTTGCTGTGACTGGTGACGTTATGACTGGATCATGCTCATTGATGTCAGTAATTACAACAAGGTAGCTAATGGAGTCACTGCGCTGTGGCTCACCCCCATCGGTAGCTGTAATGAAAAGTGAACACTCCAAGTTAAATATATTTGACTCTACATCAATAGGTGAGCTAAGCATTACTCTACCAGTGAGTGGATCAAGGGTATATGTTGAGTTAGCGTTACAATCCGAAGGGAAGCTTGATTCTATTCGATAAGTAAGCCTAGCGTTAACACCAGAGTCAGCATCTGTGGCAGTGACAATAAAAACTGTTTCATTTATTGTTGTGTTCTCCGGTATGAGTACACGCTCAAATACACTGGGAAATACAGGAGCATTGTCATTAGCATCACTAAGAACGACACTCAATGTAACGTTAGTACTCAGAGGCTCATCTCCATCATCAGTAGCTGTTATTGTTAGGTTATACACACGAGGCTCTTCGTCATAGTCAAAGCTACCCATTCCATAGATAGTGCCAGAGTCTTCATCGATGCTAAACTGAGAGTAATCATCATCAGCTATAGAGTAAGATATATCAGCATTGCTGCCACTGTCGGCATCAGTAGCTGTCAGGGTTGTGATGTATATTTGTGTATAAGACCCTTCCAGTAGTGAAGCAGTGTAGCTAGTATCGGTAAATGATGGTGGATTATCATTGACATCACTCTCTCTCAGTGTTACATTAACCCTTGCTACATTTATACCATCAGCAGCCTCTATCACCAACAAGTACTGGTTGGGGAGAGCCTCGTAATTAAAAGGCACATCCCTTGTTGAAATAATCCCAGTGTCGTATTCAATTTCAAAAAAGGTCTTGTTACCACTATGTATGGAGTAAGTGATGTTTCCATGATTACCAGTATCAGCATCAGTAGCAGTGACAGTCAGGATAGGATAGCCAGGGTCAGCATCTTCGGGGAAGGAGGCAGAGTAAGAGGAACTTGAGAAAACTGGAGGATTGTTATTAACATCAGCAACAATTAGTCTACATTGTACATTCACATAATATGCTCCATCTGTTACTTGGATCGTTAGAGTGTAAGTCTTGACTTCCATCATTTCAAGCAAGATGATATCACCATTGGTCTGATTAATAGTGAATGTACCCTCGCTTCCGCTAATTATGTAATATCTTAGCTTATTTTGGCTGACTGAATCAGGATCTGAGGCCTTTACAACATCAGTCACAATGTCGCCCACTGCCAGTCCCTCTGAAGGCCTTACAGTGTAAGGTGTGTTGGTAAATACAGGTGGATTGTCATTTACATCGTCAACAGTGACAATTATATTAGCTGTATCATTTAGTCCACCTTCATCAGTGGCCACTACAGTGATAGACCACTCTTCCATTGACTCATAGTCAAGAGATGCTTGTAGACTGATGTCTCCAGTTCGATTGTTAATAGTGAACGGGAAAACAGGAGGAAGGTTGCAAGGTGGTTCGGTTGGCCCTGTAGTTGGTTCTTCATTATCATCTCCTCCACTACCACTCAGAGTCTCATTCCCAAACCCACTGCTACTATCCTCTCCAATTCCTTCAGACTCTACAATACTAACAGGACAGGCCTGAGGTTTTGCTGCATAGCCTGATGGGGTCAGTAATGAATAAATAATGACTGCATTAGATCCTGTGTCTGTAGTCTCGGTAGCTTCAACTTGCAATATATCCTCATTAAGCTCATGATCTTCATCTATAGACAATGTGTAGGTTGCTTGTGAGAACACTGGGGCCATGTTCACATCAGACACTGTAAAGACAACAACAGCTGTATCATCACGTGGAGGCGTGCCACCATCAGCAGCTTGTACTATTAAAGTATAGGAGGGGACTACACTGAAATGTGGAAGTGACTTTGCTATTTTTATTTCTCCAGTAGATGGTGTGATATTAAAGTATCCCTGAGGTTGAGAGAAAGTTATGGAGTAAGTGATGGTACGATATGCTGGTAACGTATCATCATCAGTAGCATTCACTCGTAGTGCAGTATAGCCAACTCCAGCAGTCTCTGGAATAGACTCACGATACTCTGTCCTGGTGAAGACAGGTGAGTGATCATTGGCATCCACTACACTCACTATAACACTAGCAGTATCATTCAGTGAGGGATTACCAGGATTATAAGCAACAGCTGTAAACTCAAAGTAGTTGTTAGTCTCATAGTCAAGAGAGACTGAAGTAGTGATAAGCCCAGTAGTAAGACCAATGGTAAAGGAGTCTGTATCTAAGAGCTTGTAATTAATGACAGAGTTAGTGTCATTATCACTAGCATATACTGTAAGGACACTTGCCCCTGACAAGTTCTCAATCACAGAGCCTTCATACTGGCTAGCATTGAATTCAGGAGGAAGGTCGTTGAAATCAGTGATTGTGATATTAACCACTGCAGTATCAAATGTCAGAAAGGAATTAGAAGAAGCAGTGACATTGAATTGGTATGACCTGGTACCTAAATCAAAATCAAGTGATTTATTGAGGCTGAGGACACCAGTTGTTTCATTGAGTACAAATGGGAATTGATCGTTTTGAGTTGATTGGAACCGATACATGATGACGTGAGTAACATCGGAATCAACAGCAACAAGAGTGAGTACAGTATAACCAGGACGCTCATTCTCAGAGACAGATACTGAGTAAACATCCTGTGAGAACTGAGGTATGTGATCATCAGCATTAGTCAATCTTATGTTGACAGTAGCTGGCATTGAGAAGTAGCCCACTTCATCATTAGCAATGACTATAAACGAGTAACTGGAGCGAGTTTCAAAGTCAAGTTCACCAGAGACTGTCACAAAATTGGTACCATTAAGAGAGAAAGGAGCACCTAACGTATGAGCGGTGATTGTTATAATTGCTCCTTCATCGGGATCAGTGGCTGTTATCTGCAATGGTTGAGTAGTACCAGCCAAGTACACTAGATCACCAATAGCAGCAGTCTCAGTGACAGTACCGTTGAATACTTGAGAAGTGAATTCGGGAGGATGATCACTAATATCAGTAACAGTTATAATGAGTGGTACAGAGCTATTGAGTGAAGGACTACCATAATCACTTGCTGTTATGGTAAGATTGAAAGTTGGAGTAGTCTCGCGATCAATACTACCACTAGCCACAGTAATTATGGCAGTGTCTGGATCAATGGCAAAGGAATCGCCAATGTTACCACCAGTGATACTGTAGGCTATGTTAGAATTATTACCAGGACTATCTATATCAGAGGCAAAGATTGAAGCAATGACAACTATGTCAATCGAAGATGATTCTAGAACATTAGCTGCATAGCCACTCTTATTAAACAAAGGTGGGTTGTCATTAAAATCTGTCACTGTGACAAAAAGGGTAGCAGTGCCATTATTACCAGCAGTATCGGTAGCATAAAGTGTGAAAGTGTAATTCTTAACAGTCTCATAGTCCAATGGTGTATTTAATTGGAGAATGGCATTATTTTCAAGGATAGTGAATGGAGTCTGTGGACTGATGGAATAATCAAGTACAATACCAAGATCAGGGTCAGTAGCCTCAATACCAACTGATGTGATATCAGTTGAGAGTGGAGTATCCTCCCTCAGTGTTAGATAGTACGACTGTTGAACAAAGACAGGATCAGAGTCATCAAGATCAGTAACAGAAAGAATGGCAGTGTCAAGGTCTATTCCTCCAGATCTAGAGTCCTGTACAACAATACTGATCCTAAAACAAGTAATATCGAATGAGTATCCATATGGGCATGCTATGCTATTTGATATTGCTTCACGGTCAATGTCCTTATCAGTGAATATAAAACCACTAGCATTGATAGAGAGGACAAGATCAGGTGAAGACAAAGTGTACTCCAAGTTACTATCAGCATCTTGATCACTAGCAATGACTCTACCAACTAGTGTACCAGGATTAATGTTCTCTGTTATACTGATATCGTTAAACTGTTCAATGATGACTGGGTACTCATTCACATCTGTGATACTGATAACAACAGTAGTGTTATCAAAGCAATTGTTAGGACGATCGGCTTGACAGACTGTGACTTTCAGTATGTACTCCTGTGTATGATTCTCACGATCAAAAGTGACTCTAGAAGTAATGAGACCAGTTTGATTATTAAGAGCAAAGTAGGAAGCAGCTTCAGAAGAGGTGGCACTATAGTCAATGAAGTAAACTTTCTCTACACCTAAGTCACTATCAGGAGCATTGACACTGCCAATGCTGTAATTAACAGGAGAATTCTCAGGTATGCTATATCTGTATGTAGCCATTGAAAACATTGGCTGTGAATCGTCCACATTAACAATGTTGACGGTAAGAGATACATTGCTAGCAAAGGTACCATCAGACGCTTGGACAATAAGAGTGAGAACACGCATTGAAACATTTTCATAGTCAAACTGATTATTATTAGCAACATATAATGATGAGTTGTTTTCAATGTAGAAATAATTTCTGCCAGAGCCTCCGATAATGCTATAGATAAGAGAGGAATTATCAAGATCACGGAACTTAATGTCGCCTATATACTGGTCCCTAGTGGCATTCTCTTTAATGCTAATATTTGTGTTAATGGTACCAGCAAAAACTGGAGCTTCATCGTTCCTATTCTCAATAATGATAGTGACTGGTTCGTTAGTATGACGAGGAGGGACTCCATTATCGGTTGCTGTTACAAGCAGTTGAATTGAAGGGGTTAGTTCTCTATCAAACACGTCGTTAGGAAAGATGCTTCCGGTTGAATTGATGATAAAGCGAGTTGTATTAAGAGAGTAAGATATCTGGAGAAAGGATTTTTAAAGATAAAAGTTGTAGTAACATAATAAATTACAAAGAGATCACGTTTGTAAATATTAATCGCACGTACAGTAAAATATCATCATAAAAACCAATGCATATTATTAATAAAGTATAGTACTGCATTCAAAAAATGATTTATTCACATTTACAAAAATCATATTCTTATAACATGCTACGCTGTAGATCAATGCCTTTACATTAATTAAGGTAATATTATAATATGCTAAATGATAATATTTCTGGCTATACATATACAATAAATACATTAATTAGATCTAATGAAATCAAAATCACTATACATTTTTTTCATACCTCCTTATTTTGTCCACTGTCGTCATCGATCGCAGTCACCGTTCCTATTGCCATATTTGGATTTACAGGTAAATTCTCTGCAATCGTAAACATGTAATGAGTATCCATAAACACTGGATCATTGTCATTGATATCCACCACATTCACTGTGAGAATAGCTGTATCATTAAACTCACCATCAGTAACATCAATAGTGTAATTGAATGACCTACTGTAATAATAGATATGATAATACAACATTTAATTGACCAATAAACATAGTTTCACTACACATACAATATACATGATTGTTATGCTAAGTTTCTTACTTGTCAGGTGACTCATCATAGTCCAATAAGGAAGGTCCAGTAAACATAACTTGCTGCCCTCCATTGACAGGGATGAATACAGGTGACCCAGGGACTTGTTCTATGCTGTATGTTAGTGTATTCCCGTCAAGATCAGTGGCATTGATATTACCAACAGTGCTATTAATAGGTGTATCAGTCCCTTCATTTAGATTGAATACTAGATAGAGGAAGGGAGAAGAGTAAACATTATTATGAATTAAAGTCAGAATACTTTGACAAAGGCACTATAGTGCCTAGTGGACTATGGTTTTGAGTAATTATAGCAATATTAAATAATAGACCAGCACTGCCTATAAACACTAATAGCTTCTACTTACCAAACACATTTTCAACAAAGGTTGGTTCATTATCGTTCACATTGACTATGAATACTGTGATTTCTGCATTATCACTGGTACGAGGTGAATTCCCATTATCACGTGCAAACACAGCTACATTTCCAACTGATTTCATATTCTCGTAATCGGCAGTAAAGCTGAAAAGATTGAAGATATTGTTAATAAATAATGTGCAAAATATCAATTTTGTAGTTGTATAACTCTAAAGCAACTTTTAAAATTCATAAAAATTTATTTAAAATTCGTGAAAAATCCAATTTTGATCAGAATCAGCTCAAACTTTCTACACAACATAAGTACATCTATATGTATCAGAAAAAATTATAAAAGTGGAGAATTCTCTCTTTTTCATTTTTGACAAAATTTGGTCAACAACCCTGTACTATAGTACAGGGACTTTTAGCCGATTTTGGAGCAACTTTAAAAATTCATGATAAATCCAATTTTGATCGGAATCAGCTCAAACTTTCTACACAATATAAAAACATGTATATGCATCAGAAAAAATTATAAAAATGGAGGATTCTCTTGGAGTCATTTTTGACAAAATACCCTGTACTATGATCATTAGCCCAATTTTTGAGCAACTTTAAAGATTTAATTTTGATGAAAATTAGCTCAGTTTCTACACTTACAAACTAAAATTTACCATTACTACTAGAAACATGGAATATTAAAAATATTATCATCATAATATTATTTACTTTGATTTCATTAGTGCAGTGTTGTTATCAAAATTCTCAATCGTAAAAAGATGAGCATTAGTCCCAGTAAGGAAAAACTGGACAGAAGAGGCAGATACAGACACGTCAGCATCAGTAGCAGTGACAGTGAGTATCGGTGTGCCTATTGAAGCCTTCTCAACCAGTGAACCAGTGTAGCTAGTGTTGCCCAGCTGAGGGTCGTGGAAATTGTCAGGAGTGATGACTGTAATGGTGACACTAGCATTGGAAGACATTGTCTCCGGCTGGCCATTATCAGTAGCAATGACATCAAAGGTGTATGACAAAGACTAATAGCATAACAGGAATAATAATATATACTTACAATAATGTCACTTACAGCTTGAGTTGGACCAAGTGCCGGAAATGAAGAGCTAAGACTTATTTGTCCAGTTTTTTCGTTAATTGCAAACAATGCCGTGTCACCATCAGGAGCAAATGAATATGTGATAGAGTTGTCTCTACCATCAGCATCAGTGGCCGAGACAGTAACAAGAACTGTGTCTATTAAAATGATGATAATAATAATAATAATAATAATAAATATTAATAATAATACAAATGCATGATGTACATATATGGAATAAGTTCTGGTAATCAAAAAACTCCTAGTATTACTAGTATTACCTATTGATACGTTTAGAGTAGTTTTCGTATAATTAGCTGATGAGAACTGAGGAGGAAACTCATTAATATCTTCAACATTAACTGTTATAGTAGCAGAAGTAGAGAGTCTTGGATCACCATCATCAGAAGCAAGGACTGTAACATTGACAACTGACGTGGACTACATAAAAAATATACAAATGTAAAAACAAATAAGTAATTCTTAAAATTAATTTATCTAAGCGATTATTTGATTTTAAATTTTTCGTCTCTCTTTTTCTTTTCCTTTACTCACTTCATAATTGAAAGGATCTTTCAATACCAGCCTCTGGTTGTCTTGAATCTCAAAATAAGTGTCATTAGAGACACTAATGGTCACAGTACCAGCTGGTCCCAGATCTTGATCAATCACAGACACATTAAGACTATACTCTTGATTCTCAGATATATTGACACTTAGAGGTAGAGGAGGCTCGAACCGAGGGATGTGATCGTTCACTTCAATGACAGTAATGATAACTTGAGCAGTATCAGTGTAATTACTGCTGTCATTGACCTGTAGAGAGAGGGTGTAGTTTGGATGGAGAGCTCTGTTCAGAGTCCCCGAAACCATGATCCAACCGCTTGTAGTGTTAATGCTAAAGGTTGATTGGAAGTTGAGGATGGAATAAGTAAGAGATGAGTCAACGACTGTATCATTATCGCTTGCTACTACACGGAGGAACTGGTACCCGGTGGAAGCATTTTCAGCCAGATTAGCGTAATACACACTTTTAGAGAACTCTGGGGGGTGATCGTTCGCATCGGAAACCTCAACAATAACGTTAGTCTCTGAGGTTTTACGAAACTCTGGGTACCCTGTATCAAATGCTACTATGGTCAAATTAAAGGTCGGTAGAGTCTCGCGATCAAACTGAGAGAGGACAGTCAAGTACCCAGTGGTAGCATTTGGAGTATCGTGAGAAGCAGTAAGAGAGAAAGAAGACGAATAAGTTGTAGTGGCTAGTGACAGATTAGCAGAACCAGGAGACCCAACTCCTCCAGTATCACCATCAGTGATGCTGAACGTAAATACAGACCCATTGCTGTTCTCAAGAAAGCTAAAGGTGTAAGGTGTTGATACAAAGCTAGGGCTGAAGTCATTCCTAGGCTCAACCTGAACAGTAACTGTACCGTTAGAGCTCAGTGGAGGCATCCCTTTATCAGTTACAATGACGACCACACTGTATGTTTTAGCTTCTAGTGTTCCATTGACGTAGAGATGAGAGCCTGAGATGGAGAATGGGAGAGAAGGATCATCAAGGGAGAAGCTGTACTCGCTGTTAGCTCCTTCATCACCATCACTTGCTGACATATTCACCAAACTGTAACCATTTGGTGCACTTTGAATTATAATACGATATAATTCACTTCTATAAGAATAATAAAAATTACATTACATTGATAATACAATTAGCCATTTATAAAAATTAGCACTAAAAGATAACTATCAACTTACTGGGTGTTATTAATGACTGGAATTTGATCGTTAACATCAGTCAGTGTGACGGTGACATTAGCTGATGACTGGAGTCCCTCACTATCAGTAGCATTGATCATAAATGTATAGGTATCCTTTGTCTCTCTGTCCAGTGCAGCACTATTGAGGACCACTATCCTGTTAGTGTTGGGCTGGAACCCAAATATAGAGGAGAGAGATGATGTGAACCTGACACTGTTAGGAACTGATAGAGAGAGTGAGAGCAAGAGACATAAAATAAAATTTCCAGTTTTATAATCTTTATTTTACTTTCATCAGTGAAATCGATGGTCCCAACCAGATCTTCATTAGCAGAGTTTTCTGGTATGCTAAATGAGTAGTCATCAGATAAAATTGGAGCTTTGTTGGGACCCCTGATGATCAGTGTGATGACACCAAAATTATCCTCTGTTCCATCAGTAAAATGCAACTAAAAATAGAAAAACTGTCTGAAAGGAGCTACATTGTACATAGAGCATGTAGATTATAAAAAAAATTATTAATTTATAAAAAATTCTTGACTAAAATAAATTTGGAGCATCTTATACTTACCACAATTGGCACTCCAGTAAGGTTTTCTGGAGCTCCTTTAGTAATATTCAATGTTGTACCACCGGCAATACGAATAAAAGTCCTCAGAAAAGTCCCGTTAGGATAGTTACCATCAACTAGATATTAAATATAAGAGTATCATTATATTATATGCAAGAAGAACATACTTGAAAAGCTAGTGATATTAACAGTAGCATTAGGATTGGGGCTGGTAATCTGTGAAAGGAAGAGAAAGAAAGATAAAATGTTGCTTTATCTCAGTCACACAATCACTCTTTTTATTCCTTGCCTCAAATTCAATCAAACTAGTAACATTATTGGAGACATCAACTTGAGTAGGAGTAATAAGTTGAGGAATACCTGAAGTAATGAACACAAGCTAAACATTAAGGATAATGGTACAAAACAATATATGCAAGTAGTAAAAGCATACAAAAGTTAGATGCACTATTTTATTATGGGGTACTATTAATTGTAAATAATTATTGTAAATCGTGATTCTTAATATAATTCTTAATATAGGACATTCATTTAAGCCTGAAAATTTATTGTTAAATTTAGAACTGATTAGTGCTTACAAAATTCTCTGAGAGCTGAAATGATTAATAGTCTGCATTCTATCTTAAACAATGCAATTACGGCAATAATAATGCAATTACTATAATCATGCAATTACAATGTTACTGCAATTAAAATATTAATGCTATTACAATACCAAATGGAATTATAAAGCTGCATACCATTAGCAAGTCCAAGAGTCAAGATAAAGAGGAACAGTTTGCAAAATAAAGAAAGAGTGGGCGGGCTCATATTGCCTTTGAACCTACTGTCCCACATCTTGCAAAAGAGAAACAATAAAATGCAAAAATAAAATTAAAAATCCTACCTTTACCTGTTCTTAAAAGAACAGTTGCTTGAAGATTAGTAAAGACACCAATGAGTTAGATTGTTGCAGACTGTAAACTGAATGCAACTGCTCTACACAGAGTAAACAGTGATAATGCTCCACTGGGAATGTGATACAAACATAGGTGGGGCGGTGAATGACGCCCTTTGAAGGGAAGCAGGCCATGAATAATCTACCATGACTCTCATTGCTGGCCTCGTGATTTTTATTAAGGACACCAGTCCCGCCACACACGATAAAACGAGTCCATATATGTTTACAATATTAGCTTACAACAGTTTCTACACCAACAACGCCTTTGGAACATAGATTTGTGCTTTGAAAGGCTACGAGGGGCGAGTTCTTTCAGAAAAGCGAGCCAAAAGTCTTGCATTATAATATTTTCGCGGAAAAAGGTAGGGGGAGTGGTAGAAAGGGCGCGGTACATGAAAATTTAATTTCCCGGGGACAAAAATTTAATTTTCTCCTGGCAAATTTCCCGGGGGAAAATAAGTTTCCCGGCAAATTTTTCTGGAAAAATATTATACTTAATAAATTTTCCAGAAAAATTAATTTTCCCGGGAAAAACATGTAATTAAAGTCTATTCACTTTCACCTGACCGTACCCCTGGCTTTTTTCAATTAATAAATAACTACGTCACATCCGCATTCTTTACGTATTTGTGGTTTTGGAATTGTTTTTGTTGCGCGGAAGGGATGCAGATAAGTAGCAGCTGAATTTATTCTGGCTGTTCTAGCTGCATAGTTGCGGTCAAAGGTATGTAATTGAGTTTATACAGGGACATCCAAAAAAGGCTAAGGCCTTATCATTTTGACCCGATCTTTTATCTAAAGGACGGGAAGGACCTAGCGATTCTAATGGTGCAAACAAAATTTCTAAATTCCATGTATATCGAAAGTTATAGCAAAAAATCAATAGGTCAGGTGAAACTGAATAGACTTAAATTTCACAGAAAAAAAATAGTTTCCGAGAAAATTTCCCAGAAAAAAAAGATAATTAATAAATTTCCTGAAAAAATAATTTTCCCGACAAATTTCCCAGAAAAAAATATAATTAATAAATTTTTCGGGAAAAATTATTTTCCCGGCAAATTTCCTGGGAAAAATATAATTAATAAATTTTCAGGCAAAAATTAATTTTCCCGACAAATTTTTTGAGAAAAAGATATAATTAATAAATTTCCCGGGAAAAATATATAATTAAAAATTTTTCCGAGAAAAATAAATTTTTTCGGCAAATTTCCCAGAATAATTGTTTACTTTATTAAATAATTTTAATTTTAAAAATTTCCCAGGAAAAAATAAGTAATAAATTTATCTGGGAAAATTTAATTTCCTGACAAAATTCCTGGAAAAAATATAATTAAAAAATTTTCTGGGAAAAAATTATTTTCCCGGCAAATTTCCCATTAAAAATATAATTAATAAATTTTCCGGGAAAAATTAATTTTCCTGGCAAATTTTTTGTGAAAAATATATAATTAATAACTTTTCTGAAAAAAATTAATTTTCCCGGCAAATTTCCCGGGAAAAATATAATTAATAAATTTTCGGAGGAAAATATGATATAATTAAAAATTTCCTGAAAAAATTAATTTTCCCAGCAAATTTACTGGAAAAAAATAATTAGTAAATTTCCCCGGGAAAAATTGATTTTTATGGCAAATTTCTCGAAAAAAATTAATAATTTTTGGGAAAAATTCATTTTTTCAGGCAAATTTCTCAAGAAAAAATATATAATTAATAAATCTCCCGGGGGAAAAATAATTTTCCTGGCAAATTTCCCTGGAAAAATATAATTAATAAATTTCCCAGGAAAATTTATTTTTCTGTGAAAAATTAATTGGTTAGTTCTAATTTAAATTAATATTTTTATTAATAATAATTTCTATTATTACTAAGTTACAATTTCCAAGTTACAGTTGCTAGACTAAGTTACCGTTGCCTGGTTACAGTTGCCAGGATACGGTTGCCACGCCCAGCACTGTAAGAATTAAATGGAGGAACCTGAGCAGATCCTGCAGGGAGAGCTAGAGGAGGAAGAGGAGGAGGAGGAAGATCATGGTGTTACTGAAAAAGTCAATGAGTTTTTTACTGAGCTTGACATTGAGCAAGAGCAGAGGAGAAGAAGACTCAGATCTGAAGGAATTAGAGTAGGTTTTAGTTATTTAATTTTATATTATTACAATTTTATTATGCATTCTTGGTAGTATATAACCATATTATTTGAATTCGGGTTTCATTTTTAGCTGCTATCCTCAATATAATTTTATTGCGGGTAATAATAATAATAATAATCATTTATTTTAATTAATTCTTTGCATATATATATGTGTGGGTGTAATTTTTTCCATATTTATATAATTATGTGTAGTTTTTTTCATAATTGTTTGTATATTAATTATGATATTATGTGCATCCAGGCTCCTCGTAGAAGAAGTGTACTTCCATCGCATCTTCATTCAGTGATGGGTTCAGCTAATCTCACATTAGCACGTGGGGACACTTCAGGTGCCATTGAACTATGCATGGAAGTGATTAGACAAGGTACTGACCACCAGTATTGACTGAAGTGAGAGACATGGCTACACACAACATTATATTCAGCTTACCAATTTTGTCAATACTTTACTAGCCATGCAGTATTGATTACCAATTGTAGTACTGTGTACTTATAATCTGTGCTTTGAACTTCATTTTGTTTTTAGCTCCTCATGTTATTGAGCCATTCCTCACTCTTGCTACCATTTATGAAGATCTTGGAAAGAAAGAAAAGCTCCTTCAAGTGAGTCACACAGAATATCCACCCTTCACATGACATGATCAAGTGATTCCTAGATATTGCTTATATGTGCTTACTTGAAGCAAAGTGATATAAATGTGTGGTGTAAAGCAGCCGAGTTAGCAATTGAATTGACCCAGCTGCATATTGGAGAGCAGTGCTTTAAAAAGGTGTGTACATGGATAACTATTAGGATATGGTTCATGATGGTTTGTTGGATGTGGTTATGTTATTAATACTTAATAGGCATATGCTCTTGACAAATCTAATTATTCGTTGCTTTGGAGGAGAGCTAGTATATTGCAGGAGATGGGACAGTTCAAAAATGCCATTGATTGTTATACTGCATTAAGAGAAGTAAGTTATGATCAATGTCTACATGTTGTTATTTTTTTCAGTGTCTACCTGATGGATCTGGGCCCGATTTTATTGAAGTAACTAAAGAATTGTCAAGAGTAAGTGTTACCATAATTTTGATTGGAATGTGCTCAAACTTCCTACACAATATAAGAGCATGCCCATGATCTTTGATCACAGGGACTTTGACTCAATTTTGGAGTAACTTTTAAAATTCGTAAAAAATTCAAATTTGATTAGAATCAGCTCAAACTTGCTACACAACATAAGAACATGTATATGTATCAGAAAAAATTATTAAAATGGAGAATTCTCTCCTAGCCAATTTTGGCAAAATTTGGCCAGTGACCCTGTACTATAGTACAGGGACTTAGACCTGATTTTTGAGCAACTTTAAAAATTCATAAAAAATCCAATTTTGATCAGAATGAGTTCAAACTTAAAATACAACATAAGTACATGTATATGCATCAGAAAAAATTATAAAAATGCAGAATTCTCTCTTAGCCATTTTTGATGAAATTTGGCCAACGACCTTGTTATAGTACAGGGATTTGGGCCCATTGTCTTATTCTCTTCTTTCTTGTGTGCATCGCATCATCAGATTTACCATCAGCAATTGGATGATGTTAAAGCTATTGATCTACTTCAGGACTCTTTTGATAAGTACAGTGATCACTTTGATGATGAAGCCGTCAATATACTCTCAGAATTACTCATATCCTCAAGACAATTTGAAAATGCATTTGAGGTACGTAACAAGGATTTTTAGTTTGAATTGTAAATGAATGTGCACATAAATTCTTTCCCTTTTCTCTTTCCATCAGTTACTTACTAATTATTACGAACTATCTAAAGATACTACCACTACTACTACTCCTCCTCCTCCTACTAGCACTGCTAATGCTAGTACTACTGCTAATGCTAGCACTACTGAGCCATTCTCAATCTCAACTGCACTCTCCCTCTCAATGGGTGCATCAGACGAACTGGGTCAAAGCATCAGCGAAATAACTGGTTTGACCGGTTTGACTGGTGAGGAGTCTACGCAACCCAAGGTTACTATTGATGAGATACCTGAGAGTGTTCCTGTGGATATAAGAGCTAAACTAGTAGTTTGTATGATACAGTTGAAGTACATACTACCTAAAGTACATATAATTTCTTTTCTCTCTCTCTACTATTTTAACTCTCTACTATTTTAACTCTCTCTATTATCCTTTTTTCTCTATTTTTTACACTTTCATTTTTATTTCTTTCTCTTTTTCATTGTCTCTCTATTCTGTTTGTAGAACACACTCTTAGCTCTTACTTCTTTCCCTGAGAGCTATGGCGATCTTATTCTTGATGTTGCTGAAGCTTTCATGGAAAATGGTACATAAGATATGCTTTTATCACATAATTATTACTCCCTTGATATATACATGTATGTCTTTCATTTATAGCTGAATACTCAAAGGCCCTTCCATTACTTACTACACTAACAGAAACGAAGGAGTTCTCTCAGGCTGGGGTCTGGCTTAAACACGCTGAATGTCTCCACATGTTGAATGAGCTAGAACCGGCGGCTCTCTCTTACTCAAAGGTCCTCTCGTTAGCTCCTCATCACACAGAAACTAGAATGATACTGGCTTCACTATACAGCCAACTAGGCATGACTGAAGATGCACTGGCATTACTTGATGCAGGTATGCTGAATATAATTCCTACAAGATGTATCTAAAATATACAATAATTATGTGATGTGTAATTACATGTTCTTGTGTATTTTATCAGAGGACAATTTATATAGTTCTCAAGATGACGAAGAGACAGTATTGCCAATGGAACCACCAGTGCCTCAGAAATCACCAGCACGTGCTAGCAAGTCAAAGTCAAGTAGGCGTGGTACATCTTCACTCAAGAAATCTGTGACATTTGCAGAGAGTAGTGAACTAGCACCAGCTCTAGTAAGTACATATGGGTATGTATACATGTACATGTATATCTATCTATATACATTTACATGTGATTGCTGTTATAAATGAGTCAATGTATTTTGATGTGTTTTCTTTGTTTTTGTCTCAAGTCTCAAGATGTGAGACTTCTATTAACAAAGTTCATGCTCCTTGTTGGTGAAGAGAGAGTAAAGGAATATGTTGATGTTGGAGTGGAGATGTTATTGTTTTTCTTTAGGCAGTATTACGATATCAAAGATATTAGAGGTACTTATGATCTAGTGCTCTCCATTTTTCTCCTACTTCTCTCTCTTTTTTAGAGTACATCGGTTTAAGTGACAAGAGCATTAGAATGAAGCTGAGAAAGTTTTTTCCAGATGAAGACAAATCACTGAAGGAGCAAGAAAAGTTTATCAATGTTGATGAATGGTGGAAAGTCTTTTACATGGTATGTGGATCAACGCACAACCAACTCAAACAATTGTTGATATTTTTGTTATTTTAAAGTGCATTTATTCATTTTTGTAGACATGCAAAGGTTTATATAAATTGGGCCAGTATGACAGTCTCATTCACTTGATTTTTTGTGCTGACATCTCAAAGAAATTGGAAGCACACAGAAAAGTAAGCACAGTCTAAAACATGTATATTTATCACAGAAATAATGATGAAAATGGAAAATCACTATTACACTAGTACATGTGATATTTAATATTGCATATTACTATTATAGGAACTACTGCTATTGGCATCTTCAGCATCTTTATTAACAGCTGATGACAGCTTATTTCATTTCATAAGACTACTGTATTTTAAAGTATGTGTTTATCAGTATGTGTGTGGCTTTTCCTGTTGTCAACTTCTGGTCTAAAAATAGATAGTAGAATAAATCTATAAATAGCATGATCTATAATGTATTCATTGCTAACACATGAATCTAGTTTTAAAATTTAATAACAATATTTTGTTATAATTATTCATAGTTTTTTTTGATAGAAATCTGATTTTCCCCTTTTCTGGAACTTGTTCAATTGCATGGCACCTCTTCAGAGGCAGCATAAATTCATTCTTCGTCAGTTGATCAAAGTAATTAACTGTTATTTTATTGATAATAGTAATTGATGTTTGTATCAGAATCCTTCTATAATGCCACTGGTGAGACTATCAGCTAATTATTCACTACTCAGTAGCAGCTATAAATTTGCTCTTGGTTCGTATTATATAATTTTGAAAATAATAATTATTTGATTTACAAATATTTTGTGTGTAGCTCAGTATGAGTTGGCATACAGGGAAGATCCTAATGACCATCTCTTGTGTCTCTGTATTGCTGTGGTGTATCTTCAAATGGTGCTACAGAAGCATACATTGAAGAAGAACACACTAGTGATACAGGTAAGATAGAGAACTCATCCCCACACATCTTTACTATGTAATTCTATGGCATTGATAGGCTGTTGGTTTCTTACACAAATATTTTAATATACGTGGACCTTGTCAAGAGTCCTATTACAATGTTGGACGCTTCTTCCACCAATTGGGTAAAGATGTAATATTACATTATGGTCAGGGTTTCCCAGACAATTTTGCATAATGCTAACACAGCTTCTTGTCAGTGGATTGTCAAATTCAAAAATTACAAGGAGAGAATTATTCCATTTTTATAATTTTTTCTGATACATATACATGTATTTCAAATTTGAACTGATTCCAATCAAATTTGGATTTTTTAATGAATGTTTAAAGTTGCACCAAATGCCATGTACAGTGTACTGTATTGTAGTGCTTGTAAGCTCATGCTGTTTATTTCACTTAGCGTACTTTGTGGGAAATCCTGATTATGACACCAATTGCGTAAAAAGTTTTGATTATAAAATTTAATGGCACTAGTGAGAATTGACTAATTCCCTTTATTCATAGGTCTATTGCACATTGCTTGTCATTATTACAAAATGGTCCTCTCAACTGACCCCGATAACCTAAGACATGACTCCAATGCTAAAATGGTTAAGTTTTATACAAATTTTTGCTTGATTGTCAATATTTTTATTTTAGGTATATCCCAGTTTAACGCATGAGGCTGCTTTTAATTTGGGACTGATCTACAACCAGTCAGGAAACAGGCCACTAGCTTTACATTATATGTGGCATTATTGCAGGATCTAAATTACTGCCTATTTTCCACAAATGTTTAATTAATAATTGTCTGTTTGGTATTACATTTAGTGTGAGTGATTATCCTGTCTGCACCATCTAGATAGACCTATGTTTCTGGTCATGAAGTGCTGATTTAATATTATTTTTATTATCATAAGAAAAATCAACTATAAAAGGCAAAAATTATTCAAAATAGCAAGAAAGAGAAATCAACTAGATTTACAAAAGGCAAAAATTAATGAAAATAGCAGTATTCTAAAGAAAACAGCAAACAATCTTTTTTAAATTATAAATGTTTACCAAGTTTTACTTTATTTTGGAATCTCATAGGATAGACCTACATGTACATGTAGATCTACCTCCCTATTAGCTGTCACAAGATCCAGTCTCTGGTAAGTGGACTTATTCTTCTTAACTAGTTTGAACAACTTGACGACTCTCCATATAATGTAAACTGCTATCCATATCATCGGCAGATAGACTAGTATGTATTGGATGATAAAAGCAACAAGGGAGAGATTTTCCATTGAAGTAGACAGCATATACTGATAGAGAGTGATGCTGTTGATGATAATGATCGACAGGAAAATGCAGCCATCGATTTGATTATGTACTCTTTCCTTGTACGGTTGAAGTACCAGAATAATAGTGACCATTATACACGAGAGCACCTGTTGTATGAGTACTTGAGCAATAAATGTGCTTGTTGTTATGTAGGCCAGTGCCATTGCTATACGCATTGTAAAATAAAGACTAGACACCCATCTCAAATCAACAAGAAATGTATTTTTAACACATGATACTGAAGGACGTTGAAACACTGTAGCTTTATCATGAGTAGCATTATCCTGGTTTTCAGAGTTATCAATACTGCTTCCATCTTTAAACTCGCATTGTAGAGACTCCAGGATTATGTTGAAGTACGAGATACTTTTTAAATCCCTGTATCGACAGAAGAAAAGTAATACTGGTACTGGTAATAGAAATAGTATAGACACCAGTACAGCTATGATAACACATACTAAATGCTCTGTACTTTGACCATACTTGGTAGAGGCATCAAAATATGACACTGTAGTTATATTGTTATGAGAGGCATCGAAAAGTTGAGCAGGATACAGTATATAGCATGTGTTTAAAGTACAACGTGTGTAAGCAAGTAGTATGCAAGAGGCCAAAATATTTCTTACTGCTTTTTCTTGTTTGATTTCAGCATAATCTTTGAACCTTCCCCAACATTCATTAATTATTTCATAGCAACGCTTCAAAGGATTAAGGCAACAGAAACGGGTCAGTTTTACGTTATCACCGCAGCGATGGTAGATAAAAATTAGGATTACAAAGACCAATGGAAAGAGGGCCACTGCATATTGTATGACAAATATTGAGTTCATTGACAAATCTGGAGCTAAACAATACTTGATTGGCTCAATGAAATCAAGATTCCATACATTGTACAATATGTCATAAACCTGTACTAGGACATCTGAAGCATCCGTTGCATTTCCCAATGGTACTTCGCCATTACCACTAATATCCAATGAGGTTGTTATAGTTTGAGCAAAAAAAATTGCACCATTGAGATAACCAGAAGCCAATGAGAAATTAGTGAAGTAAAGGATAAAGAACATTGCTGTTACGGGTAACAATTGAGTTACTATAAAGAGAGCCCAAGCATATTCTGCACTACTTTTGGAGCAATCATGACAGCCATATCCAGTAATAGTTAGAGCATATGATTCTTCTTTATTGCAACTGGTACACAATGTACCTTTCTTGTTTTCGCCACATAAAACTTTATCAATTTCTGTATATGATCTTGGTAGAATGACAAACCCACCTCTAATATGATTGTCACGTGGCTCACAAAAGCGACAAGGACCTATTACTGGTTTTTCACTGTAACTTGTCTTACCAATCCAGTAGCCTTTCTTGATTAAAGCAGTGAAGTTTGATAAACAACGAACCAAGTTATTGAACTGACCAGGGGTGCATTTACATTTCTTT